GAATATCAGAGAGGTTACACAAAAGCAGCGATTCGAGTCTCTGGAGCACAAATTTGAACTTTTGCCGTCTGAAATCCGTGTTAAAAAGACTTTATTTGTACAAAATGAAGAGGGCCCAAGTCAATCAGTCACACCTGCACAGGCCTATGTGGACCATACCAATATGGCCGATATACAAACTCCACCGGCTCATTGCCAAACCCATCACGAGCCAAGAACGGAAAAATTGGCAGACAATGACGATATTGAAAATTTCTTGATCACATTTGAACGCATTGCTGTAGCATGCCGCTGGCCTAAGCCTGACTGGGTTTTTCATCTAGTACCACTGTTGACTGGTAAAGCAAGCGGGGCATATGTACATATGGACTTTGAGAATTCCCTTAATTACGATCTGGTAAAGTCTGCTATTTTGTAATATTAACTTTGAGACCTACAGGCCGAGATTCCGCTCACTAGATATATACCCAGGTGAGAGTCCAAACGAGCTCTATGCGCGGTTGAAAGAGCTGTTTGGGAAATGGATTAAGCCTAAAGGTAAATCTATGAAGTTGGTGAAATTATCATTTTGGAGCAATACTTAAGAATGTTGTCCCCTGAGCTTCAAATTTGGATCAAGGAGCGGAATCCAAAATCAGCCCTGAAGGCAGCTGAACTGGCTGATGTCTTTGTGGCTGCCCTGGAGCATGGACAAGCCTGGAGTCAAGAGGACTGGTGGACGAAGAGGGACTCTGAGCATGCTATGCAACGCCGCCAAGGTCCAGACAATTTGGGTAAGCCTTTTAATCCAGCCAATACAGGCATGCACCCACCAAAATATTCAGGAAAAAAAACCTATCTGCTACCTTTGTGGAGTGGAAGGACACACTAAACCAATGTGCCCCAAAAATTCTGCAAAAATGACCCAAATGTGCTATGCTCCTCGCCTAGATACCATTTTGCCTAACTCTGACCTCTCTATCAAAATGGCTACTGTTGAAGTGAATGGGACTCTCTTAAAAGGACTATTGGATTCAGGGAGTGACCAAACCTTAGTTCATAAGGACTATATTTCCATCTAATATTATTAGCATGCTGGACACAGTTCTCATTTGTTGTATACATGGAGATAAAAAAAGACTATCCAAAGGCAGATGTATATCTGAAGATAGATGACCAAAGTTATCTGTTAAGTGTGGGAGTTGTGGACAGTTTGCCCTACCCTGTAGTTCTAGGTCGGGACTTGCCAGTGTTCTTTGACCTATTGGAGGGGGGACAAACTCAAAATTGCTTGGCTGCTGTTACTCGTGCTCAAGCCCAGAAACGTGAAGCTATCGACACTGTTCTTTGTGCTCTGCCATTTTACAACGAGGAACTGGAAGCGGGGGCTATTAAAAAATCGAAAATCACGAAGAATCAGGAGACAAGAGAAGTTCCAGCACACTTTGAAAAATATGTAGAACCAGAGCAGTCTATAGATTTTGGAATTCCCCCTAACATTATTGAAATGCAAAGGTCTGATCCATCCATAGCACATCTTTTCCAGGAGGTTGGAGCAACTAAAGCGGGAGCCCCTGGTAGTCCTGAGTATGTTTTGGACAGTGGCATACTTTATCGTCAGAGGGGTTCAGTGTTGCAGTTGATGGCCCCCCAAGGAGCAAGAAATGCCATACTTACTCTTGGCCATTCTGTACCATGGGCCGGTCATTTGGGTAAGCACAAAACTACAGCACGAATTCAACAATACTTTCACTGGCCGGGGTTAAATAAAGATGTGGCCCAGTTCTGTCGCAGTTGCCCCCAGTGTTAGATAACCTCTCCAAAAATGCCCTCCAGAGCTCCACTTCAGCCGTTGCCAGTTGTGGGGACCCCATTTGAGCGCATTGGGATGGATGTTGTTGGACCAGTTGAAAGGAGTAAATCTAGTAATCGCTACATGGTCGTAATGACAGACTATGCAACAAAGTACCCTGAGGTTTTTCCAGTGAGGAATGTTAAAGCAAAAAACCGTTGTATTTTGTCTCGTCCAATTTTTTTCTCGGTGTGGGCTTCCCTCAAGAGATACTAACAGATCAAGGTTCTAATTTCATGTCCACTCTACTAAAACAGGTCTACCAGCTGCTTGGCATCCGGAGACTAAGGACCACGCCATACCATCCCCAAACTGATGGTTTAACTGAGCGGTTTAATCAGACCCTTAAGCTGATGCTCCGAAAATGTGTTAAGATAAGATAAGATAAGATGTGCTTTATTTATCTCACAGAGGAGAAATTTACATGTCACATTTGGCATGGATAGAGACACTCAGATTGTGCAAAGGCAGGAAATGTGCAAACATGTTACATGCAGGATATATGTACAATAAAGTGACAATAATTATGTTAATGACACGGGCACCAATTGGGACCAATGGCTGCCGTACGCTCTTTGAGCTATTGTATGGGCGTGAGGTGCGGGGGCCACTCTCATTGCTCAGAGAGGTCTGGGAGGCAGACAAAGAGAGTGCGGGACCTGTTAATGTCGTTTCATATGTTGTCCAGATGAGGGAGCGCCTTGAAAGAATGACTGAACTGGCTCAATCCCACATGGCAGAGGCCCAGCAACGGCAAAAGGTCTGGTACGATCGGTCGGCTCGTCAAAGGACTTTCGCTCCAGGCCAAGAAGTGCTGGTACTGTTACCAAGTGAGGACAACAAACTGCTGGCTAAGTGGCAGGGGCCTGTTAAAGCTGCACTAACTGACTTTGGGATTTTGAAGCCGCGGACTCGCTGGCCTCTCTCTTTCTGCTCCCCTCCCCGCACCCACGAAGCTATCGCCCCCCACACACACCCACTGTTGGGACTGAGCTAGTGTCTCCCAATATGGATAATACATGAATATGGATTTGCACGTGGATGGCGTGACCATAAAACGATAGAACCGGGAAGCGCGGAGGAATGGGACTTTCTTTTGGATGGCTGTTTCGCTAAGTAAGCAGTAACCGGTGATGAAGACACGAAGCTTCAGGTTAGCTCCGCCGCTTGTTGTGCTAACTCAGCTGTCTGTGCTAACGGACCTGGAGATTTCTCACGAAAGTGGGGGCCAGTGGTCCGTTGTGATTGGTCACAATCTGCGACCCGAAACACATTCTCTTCCTTGTTTCATCAAAACTCGATCTAAAATATAATGTCACGCCAGCACAAATCTGCGCTAATTATTCTTCAAAAGGACGTATATCCCAATGCACTGCATGGACATGGATAGCATTTTCGTAATGAATACGAAAATAAAGTCAGTTAGTGCAGCTTTAAGATAATCAAGAAGCTGGGTCCAACTACATACAAGGTGGAATCCCCAGGGAAATCCCAGGCACGGAAAGTGCTGCACATACAGTAGGTCCCATTTCGTTTTGTCGTCTTCACTCACGCTTTTCGCGAATCACGCAGCTGCGTGAAAAATATTACATCTTATCGCCACAAGGTGGCAGGTTAAGTCCGCTTTAGCTCTGCCAGCGACTTAGACGCTCAGGTATGATACTGCGTGAAAACCTGTATAGCCCAGTGATGCTATGTTGGCCGAATGGTTAGCATTGAAGACTGGGACCTGGAGAACCCAGGTTCGATTCTTGTCTGAGGCAATTTTGGTTGCACATCTTTTGGTTGCTTGTGTGCAATTACGTAACGTTATCAGATTGTTATCTTCTTTCCTTGTCAAAAGGAAATGTGTAAAATTGGCTGTGTGTTCAAGCCGTGCATGTGAATGTATATGTGTTGCTATTGAATGCTTTTTCAAAGTAAGAGCATAACAGACAACATATACAAATTTTGTACTAATGTTAATCTTTATAATTAAATTGCATTAACGTATATATGTGATGCGATCTGGGAAAACCCGTCTGATGTCACGCTGGCACGTTCCGAGTAAACAGAAAAAATAGGTCGATTGTCATTTTTTTGGCAAAATTGTTTTTTCATTAAACAATTATTATATAAACATCTTGTCTTTAATGTCTGAAAAAATCTAGGTGAAATTCAATAGTGTTATACGTTAAATATTGTGATATGTTTTGATAAACCGAACGTTACGTTACATCCTCTGCTCTGGCCCCGGGAGCAGCTGCTGTGACCGCCGCTCTGACAGCTCAGTGAACGCACTGCCGTCTGGGCTCCGAGCGCGGACCATAGACACGCGAACAGAACCACAGACAGGACCATAGACACCCGAACAGAACCACAGACAGACATTTACATTTACATTTACTATCCCTGGCCGCGGCTGGGCCATGCATGTGAATGTATTTTATGTTTAAATGTGTTTCTATTGAATGCTATTTCAAAGTAAGAGCATAACAGACAACATACTGTATACATATTTTGTACTAATGGTAATCTTTATAATTAAATTGCATTAACGTATATATTTAAAATAATTATGTATTGTCTATATAGAATTCTATGCCAATTCGAAAATAAAGACATTCTGAAAGCGATCTGCCTCTCGTGATCTTTTAGTGAGGTCTTCTTCTGGTATTTACTGTTTGGCTGAGCAAAGTTTTAATAGTATTGGTTAAAATAAATCCCATTTTCAAACACAAATAAGAGAGAGAGAGAGAGAGAGAGAGAGAGAGAGAGAGACGCTGACGCATTTTGGCTCAGTGCGCTGGTGTGCAATCAATGGAATACATCACAATACTCATCAAACAAGATCCATTCAGTTTTATCATTGGAGGAAATGTTTATTAAATTAGCAATTGGCACCTTGACAAAACACTGGATATAGAAATCCTAACAATAGTAGGCTAATATAGGCTAACGTGGACATCCCTTGGCCCGTGGGGATATCACATGCCAGTTGCCTCTCCCTTCAACGCTATGACCTGGTCGATGACTTTGTCCAGGTGGTCTATATATTTATTGCAGACCTGGGTTGTGAGTTTGTTTAGCCAAAAAAACTCTATTGCGGAGATCAGTGCGTCCTTGCTCATCGGCTTGGCCTCACAGCGAATGTATCTTTTCATGGACGCCCACACTAACTCAATGGGGTTCAGATCCGGCGACCTTAAACAAAAACACATGGACATGTCAGCACTGTTAGCCTATTTTCCGATACAGCATGTATTCATCCAGAATATATATATATATATATATATATGTATAAAATAACTACGGTAACTCACTCTGCCGGTGTCGGTACCCAGTTGATCCCCTCACTTTGAATGCAGGCTTTGACACTTTTTGCTGTGTGTTTTGGATCGTTGTCTTAAAAAATCAAACAGGACAAATTAAGAGGACAACTTAATCATTAAACAAACATTAGTAGCCTAATCCTCACGAGGTTGCTTTTGTCATAATCATGCTGAAGATTTGGAATACAGATTGTTAGCCTACCTTGGAAGAATCTATGTGTAGACATACGGAAATGCTCCCTTAAGTATGGACCAGCAGCTTTTTTGATGATTTCTTCCGCGTAGAAGTGTTGATCCATTATACCTGCGGGTTTAAATAATATGTTAGCATATTGTAACAATTTATTTAGCATAGCCTACTTTGCATGCATTGCTTTCAAAACTTCATCACTCACCGTCAAAAATGACCAACGGACCAGGTCCCCATCGAGAAATTCCACCCCAAACATGCATTTTGACCGGGTGCTTCACCCTTGGTTTTGCAATGCCCCTGAAGTTGGTCTTTCTCCAGCACTTCAAGGCAAAACGCTCCAGTGCCACAGTTGACTCGTCAGTGAAGAGAACATCATCAAACTTTTCACCAGCAGCCTTCCATTCTTGAGCTTGGGTTACACGCAAATCTTTGTTTTTTCCTCTGGTCATTGGAACGAATCTGTAAGCAGAATTTATCAAAATGTTACTATAAGAATGACATGTTGAGTGCCCGGTTATCACGATAAGTAATTAATAAAGAGACGCGTGTTACCTGGGCTTTCCAAAGTTCCAGCCAAGAGTCCGGACTGTCTTTCGCACCGAGTGTAAGCCGATCGTTATGTTGTGCCTGCTTTGGAGAAGCTCTTTTACTTTTCTTGCTGGTAGTTCATCGTCTGTTCTCAGGATGGAGTCTATTATTTCCATCACCTGACTGAAAGAGACACATTGTTTCAGTACATAGTTTGGTAAAGCCTGTTGTTATTTTGTTCACATGTGAAACTTACAAACTTGAGTATATATTTTAAATAATAAAAAGTACATTTACCTTGTCACTTTACGTGGCTTGCGTTCCTTCTTCTTCTCCACAACAGCACATCGCAGCAATGACGCTGGATAGTTCGCAAGGAAGCTCTTATTCCAGTTGTGGCCAAGTGTTTGGCGATAGTGCTAGTCGTCCAGCCTTTCTTACGCAGAGTCCTTATGAGCTCACTGACTTGTGCGTTGATCACAGCCATCGCTGACATGTACTGTAAATATACCATCGGTTGAACTATTTATCTTGATTTTTACACACACCTCCCTCCCCCTACCGCCCACTCCCTGTGTTTTTTTCCCGGTCCCGTCCCAATCACGAGATAAGATGTTTTGCATATGTGAGGAAGAACTGGATTTTCGACATTCCTGTGGTCAATCTAGTTCAATACAGTTCAGTTCCTACGCAGCTTTAACCTCCTGAGACCCTGCGACCTCATACGAGGACATTACATTTTTGCCTCTTGGCACAATGATACTCAATTTTTTACATCCTTGACCTGATGGCCACATTTAGGGACACTGCCCGCGCCATCTTGTGGTGATATGATAGAATTACACTTAAGGCAGTAGGAAAGAAATGGCGGAAATATCAGCAAAAGACTTCTACAAGAGTTCACAGAAGAAAAATGCCCCAGGTAAAAATTCTATCAACATTTTATGAATGAAATCAATTTATTTATGCACAATAATGTCTCTAGCTTCATATGGAGTTTGAAATTTGAAAAATTTTGATTGTAGTAGCAGGCTAGGATGTCAGTAAAAGTGAAGCACTCGTTTGAGGACGCTAGGACTATGTACCGCTATCTGTTTAGCTAACCGTGTGGAAGATTTAGATGAAGTTACAGTTGTAAATAGTTATTTTGAATCACACATTTGCTCAGTTATGTGGTTTACAGTTGTAAATAGTATATTTAAGTACTAAGTGGTATATGCTAAGTATTGTGAAGTGTTGCTAAATGCTTAATCATAAACAATATAGCTAGGCTATAGCTAGCACATGATAGCCAAGCTATGATGTGTCACTGATATACTGTAGATTTTGATGTTGGTTTTTAAAAATTATCATTACAGGCACACTTTCATTATCAAGAGCAGAACAATTGCTGTTGGCAATTGCAGACAACTCTGAGAATTCCTCTATGACTTCTCAGATGGGGATGATTGTATCATCATCTCATACTTGTCAGTCAGCTTCTGGAGTTTCCAGCGGGGAGAGGCGGCGAGCTGAGGTGGCCATACTCATTGCCCCCCATCTCAGCCGCCACGTGTTGAAGTTCTCCCCGGTGAATGAGAGGGTCGCGTCCCTCCGCCTCCGGGTGGGGGACAAGTCTCTCATTGTTGTGACGGCCTACGGGCCTAACGGTAGTGCCGAGTACCGGCCTTCTTGGAGTCCTTGGGAGGGGTACTGGTCAGTGCACCGCCCGGGAACTCTGTTATTCTCCTGGGGGACTTCAACGCCCATGTGGGAGTCGCCAGTGACACTTGGAGAGGGGTGATCGGGAAGAACGGCCCCCCTGATCTGAACCCAGGCGGAGTTCAGTTGTTGGACTTCTGTGCCAGTCACGGTCTGTCCATCACGAACACCATGTTCGAGCACAAGGGTGTCCACCAGTGCACGTGGCACCAGGACACCCTAGACCGAAGGTCAATGATCGACTTTGTTGTCGTATCATCCGACCTTCGACCGCGTGTCTCGGACACTCGGGTAAAGAGAGGGGCGGAGCTGTCAACCGATCACCACCTGGTCGTGAGTTGGATCCGCTGGCAGGGGAGGAAGCCGGTCAGACCTGACAGACCCAAGCGTGTAGTGAGGGTCTGCTGGGAACGTCTCGCTGAGACCCCTGTCAGACGGACTTTCAACTCACACCTCCGGGAGAGCTTCTCCCAGGACCCAGAGGAGGGGGACATTGAGTCCGAGTGGACCATGTTCTCTTCCTCTATCGCCAATAAAGCGGCTCGTAGCTGTGGTCGCAAGGTCTCTGGTGCTGGTCCCCGAACCCGGTGGTGGACACCGGCAGTAAGGGATGCCGTCAGGCTGAAGAGTCCTATCGAGCAATGATGGTTCGTGGGACTCCTGAGGCAGCTGTCCAGTACCTGCAGGCCAAGCGTGCCGCGGCCCGGGCTGTTGCAGAGGCAAAAACCCGGGACTGGGAGGACTTCGGAGAGTCCATGGAGCATGACTATCGGTCGGCCTCAAAAAGGTTCTGGCAAACCCTCCGGCGCCTCAGGAGGGGGAAGCAGTTCTTTGCCAACACCGTGTATGGTGCGGGTGGAGGGCTGCTGACCTCGACTGGGGATATTGTAACCCTAACCCTAACCCGGAGATGGTAGCCTTGAAAAACCCCATGCGTTGCAGAGCACAAGACTGCATTGGAAAATCCTGTGTCCGATGCATGACATGCAATGTGTACCTGTGCTTGCAAAGTGAACGCAACTGCTTTGCAGCATTTCACACTTGCCAATAGGGCTCTTCCAAAGCAGATTGCTTTCTAGAAAAAGAGAGGGAGCTAGTTTGAAAAAAGCCCCGGTTCAAAAGCTGTTCAGCAGAATTTTACTGTTGTAGGACTGTTAATAATATTTGCCATTATTTGTTCCAGTATTGTATTTATCAATTCAATTCAGCCATATTGAAGGCTTGAAATAGACAGTTTACACAGTATTTTGCAGTTTTATTTATCCATCCATCCATCCATTTTCTTCCCTTTAATCCATTTCTGGGTCAGGGGGGTGGCAGTCAGAGATGCCACCCAAGTCTCATAGCACCAGCTATTTTAGTTTTATTTATGTATAGCCAATTTTTTGTCATGTGGATGAATGAAGAACAAGGGAACCCAAATTGCAGGACTGAAAATCAAAGTAATTTAATAAAATAAATCCAAGGTAATGTAAAAACAGAACTGAAGCCAGGACAAACGTGGTGGAGACAATGGACGGACAACAAGAGAGGAAGGGCACAGGGTATATATACACACACACAGGGACACACAGGTGAATCACATTAGGGCGGGGCAACAATCAACAGGACAGGCAGGATTCAAACTCAACCAGGTCAAAATGTCCACACCATGACATTTTTAGGCTTTGAAGATAGAGCTGTTTGGATTTTATGTCTAACTTTGATGTTTACATTTTTCAAATAAACTGTTATATACTATTTTAGACCAATGGAGTCTATTTGTATTGTATAGTAAGGTCGACCCACTGTACTCATATGAGGACATTGATTTTTGAGAGAAGTACTAATTGGATCAAGCTGAAATTTTGAATTTCAACTAATTAGGACCTTCCGGCCTCAAAGAGCATACATTTTTTCTTTAGGTTATGAGAGACCCACTGTCCTCATAAGAGGACATGTTTTTTCTCAAAAACTACTTCCTGTACAAAATCACAATTTAGGTATTATACTTATTGGGTCCTACTTATCCTAAATAGCAAAAAAATATATAAAATGCACACCAGACAAATGCTCGGGTCTCAGGAGGTTAACATGTTGTTCATAAAAATGGCCAGAATTGCCTATATTTTGGGCAACGGAATGAAAATAATGGATTGCGCCAGATTAAAATGTGTGGCTACTGCCCATCACTGCATATTAGTAACTAACACTGAATGAAAAGTTAGATTTTCGTCACTCTAAATGGCAGGAAATCACGCTCTTTTTCGGGTATCTCAGGCAGTTTTCAAAGTTTTCAGTTAGGGTGCCCTGTCCTCCAAACTGCCGCATCCGTACCATGCTAATGTCCCTACTTTGCATATGAATGCAGCGAAACACTGCGGCCGGCCGAGCGCTAATGGCCCGAATTAGCATATAAATGCAGCAGCATTGGTGGATACCACTACATTGGCTTCCTGCTTCTCGAGAGAGCAGTCGTGTCTCTCTGCTCTGCTTTTGCTTCGCCTTTTAATCTCCTTGAATCATTTTATTTACATTTTTTTGTTTCTCCTTTAATCATTTTATTTACAAAACGAGGATTACTCCTTCTACACACTTCAGCTTTGTGGAATTTATCAACTTTAGTCATGTCGGGACGAAAGAGACGGAGAAGCGTCTGCGGCGGCTGTTGTGCTCTGGAAAATCAGCTCAAATCTCTTCAAACACGGATATCTATTGTGGAAACAGAAATGGGACTAAACCCGACTCTTCCAATGAGTGAAAATGGGATGAATGGACAGACTGGAAATGTAAGTTATGACATCATTTCTTTTCCCAAAATCAACAATGAGAATTATTGGAACAATTGTGGAGCTAAACCCAAAGTTGACAAAGCTAAGAATGACAATAGGAGTGAAATAAGGCCACAACTAAATGTTCTGAAGACTTCAAACCGCTTTTTACCCCTTTCTGAAACAACAAAGCCGCTAAAAACTGCAGCGCCTCCACCAAGGACAAACTGTGTCCTTATCGGAGATGGTTCGGTGAAAAATGTAAACATCCATGAGTCCATGCTCACTGTCTCAGTTCACTCTGCAAAAGTTGCTGAGATAAGGACTCTTCTGCCTAAAGTGTTATCTGAGAACAGTGGTGTGCGTACATTATTGATCCACACGGGGGCGGTAGATATCTATGAGAAGGCAAGCGAGATGTTACGAATGGATTTAACGCTGTTACTGGATGACCTCAAGAAAATGGACATAAACATTTTTCTTAGTGGCCCACTTCCAAATATAGATGGAAAAATGGAGAAGTTTAGCCGTCTGTATCAGCTAAATACATTCCTACTCAATGAGTGTTCACGCAGAGGACTTGGCTTCATTGAAAACTTTAATCTGTTCTGGAATAGGCACGAGCTTTTTGAAGAAAAAGGTCCACATCTGAACAACTACGGAGTAAAAGTGTTGATGGATAACTTTGCATCTGCCCTAAGACCTCAGCCTGCGCAGCGTGTGCAGCCGTTGAAAGGGAGAAAGAAGAAGCAAAGGGCACAGACATCACGACCATCTCCACCGACTCCCGAGGTCTCTGCACCCCCACCGCCTCAAAAGAACTCCACACCTTCACGATTCAAGAAGAACTCAACACCTCCAAGGTTCCAAAAGAACTCAACACCTCCACGGCTCCGAAAGAGCTCAACGCCTCCACCCCCAGCATCATCAGCAGCTGCCACATCTTCATCAGCGCCATCAGCATATACAGCACCACCAGCAGCAGTGGATACAGCAGCAGCAGTGGCTGCTCCATCATCTTCAGCAGCAGCAGTGG